TCACACCTGGCCTGGCATGCAGTGTGGCATGCAATTGATTGCCAGTCTTATTTTTCACAAGTGTCGATTGTAGATCAAGATTTTATATAGATTTCGATGCAATTTACAATATAGTACTCATTTATGCATATGTTTTACGGTCAATAACATGAAAGCACTTAGGTATCATCGTAAATCCTTCAGTGCCCATTTGTTTTGCCAAGTGTTAAGTAATATTTGTTATAAACTTATAACGCATTGCTGAAGTATAGCGAATCCAATTTTAATATTGGCTTGTTCGATCTATGCTAAGTTTGTCATTAGTGACCCACGCAGCGTTTTTCGTGTTAATAAAAGCGGGATACGACCATGTCGATTATTATTAGGTATATAAAAAAGTAGGTATGTGCTGTTCTTATTGCCGAAAAAAACATGTTCGGTTATCTAATCATATCCTGAATGATATTTGTTCTTTATAACAGGTCAAACATACGTTTTATTTTTTCGGACCTGAAAATTAGATTCATCAAATTTCGAACAAAAATATGAGCGTACCCCATCGTGGTTTGAAACTAGTCGAGATCCTCGTCATACAAGTACGGTAATAAAACTTAATAGTTAATTTAGTATAATACACGAAAGTTATATAATAAGAAATATTACCTAACAATAATAGTAGCTGGCCCAATCGTACCAGTAAGTACGAATTATCTGAGCAATAACAGGCATAACATGTACTTTATACATCCTTGATCCAACGCATCATTGATGGGCCCCCCTTCACAATGGCCGGTGTCAAATGCATAAATTGCACTCGTTTCCTGATTAAGGGATCTGTGCCCCGGGACGCTATTGGTACTTAGGTCTTGCTTTATGTCACTGATTGGCTGTTCTGGTTGTTCAATAGGACCCAGATCCAATTGGAGTGCAACGACTTTAGTTCTTTTGTTGCAAATATTGCAGTGATTGGTTGAAATTAGAGGCCGCATGTCAATTGATGTTTGTTTAAAATTGTGTATGATTGATATGGTATATTGTTTCTGTATTGTTATCATTAATGATGCAGTTTTTGCGCTAACGTACTATAATATATTATGTTGTATGGTTTGATCTTTGAGTCACTTCGATTCTGGTTGTTGCGGTGTTTGTGAGTTTTAGCAGATTTAATGCGATTACTTGTATGCAGAGTAAATTCCTGCATAAACGGTGATAATTAATGTTTTCTGGACCTACTACTAATTAAATTTTCTTACTTATATATCATTCAGAGCTCTTGTAAACGTCTTTGAGCAACTTCAAAAATGCATTCGCAAGCATTAATTAAAAACAATCGTATGCAAAAATCTTAAGTGGCTTTAAAACCGGTTGTAATGAATAATTAAGTACTGGAGTTACTTTAGAGTTTCGTAATACAAATTTAATGCTCATATTATAAACGATTAATTCATAATTCAATTTTGATTTTCTGTTAATAAACAATTTATATATGAACATTTATTGTGACGTCTGTGACGTTGTTTTTCATATTTGGCGTCCGTTTACCAATAGGGTAGTTTCTTAAATTTTATTTTAATGTCCGTCTAGTACATTAATTTAAAACTTTTGACACATATTTTTTTCTTTTCTCACAAAATTAAATATTAATTTGAAATATCTTGTGACGTCACAGCGTGCCATTTTGTAGCACGTTATGACGTAACAACCTCCCATTCCTAAACTTAGCGCCATTTTATCTAAGTATTGCAACTTAACTCGTCGAGTACCGTCAATATAGACACAATTATAGAACAATAGGTTGCGGTCACCGGTGACCGCTTGGTGTTTGACAGTTTAATACGAGAAAATAAAAAAAATACGTGTGTAATATTTTTTCATTATCTAACTGACCGACTAATTAGATTTTTGATGTTGATACCCTGGAAACTACCCAATTCCAACAGAGTTTTAAAATATGGCGAAGAAACTTTATAGATGTTTGATGTACCTGACTTTTACATCTAGAACTTTCTACCTACCATAGTCCATAACCATTTTCGCGGAACACACATTAATCGAAAATAACAACGCGACTGTTTTCCAAACTCAATTGTGTTTATGGCACCGCATCTCCCTGCACGCAGTGGAAACGTGCTTCTTAAAACAATTACCCCCATTCAGTACTGTCACGGTACTAAACAGTAAGGTTATTGTATAACCACACATTCGATTCCCAACCTTATAACCTTTACAATAAGTACCATGACACATCAATTGAAGTATGTGTTTCCAATGAGGTTTTAGTGTCAACGAACCGACATTGTGGATAGATGTTCGCCTTGGTTTTTTCTTGTTGTGTACAAAACTGATGCGAATTGTTCGATACTGCGCAGTTACATCAAGTTTGTTTACACTCTGACTGTATTTGAAAGTGTGTGCGCATTCGCAAATTAAAAAAATGCGATAAGGATTAAAGGGCTATGTTATATCAAGGTCCTTGTTAGCATGTGTCGTCATCGTAAAGTACTCTATAGTACGTCGCGTCGGTTAGTCATCACTGTCTCGCATTTTATGATGTAGTAAATATTAGTAGACTTATTATTGTCTCAGTGGGAAAGAGAAATGACTATTACTTTCCCTTTCTTCTCTTAATGTGTCATCTTCGTCATTTTTAGCCTCGTAAGTAGCTTGTTACTCTTGACGAAATAAATTGTTTATTAAACTACTTCCTTCATAATTCGCAATCTATACTAATATTATAAAGAGGAAAGATTTGTACCTATTTTTGTATGTTTGTAATGAATAGGCTCAAAAGTACTGGGCCGATTTAAAAAATTCTTTCATCGATAAAATGCTACATTCTTCCAATTTGACATAGGCTACATTTCATTTTGAAAAAAATTAGGGATTCTTGGTAAAATTTGAACAATGTAACCGAAGGTGTAGAAAAATGAGTCTTAAAATGTCTTTCGTCGAATGCGCTGCCGAAACTATTAGCGATAGAACAAAATAATGTACAACAATATTGAAGAACATCATAATGTCTACAAAAAAGTCCACGGTAGCATATGCCCAACTATTGTAGTTATGTTACTACAGCAATCCAAATTTCCAAAAATAAATAATTGTCTACCCCGTGCGAAGCCGGGACGGGCTGCTAGTAAATTATAATAGTGCTGAAAAATTTATGTTGTCTAGACATTTTATTCCTCTGGGGAATAACTTGAACGAAGTTATATATGTTTATCTCAAGTAGTATACAACAAGCACTTTACAAGTCATTGAGTTCCAACACTGATATTATACATAGAGGTATTATAACTCAATCGGTGCAGCGGCAAAGCCAACGTTTACAAACATAACAAGGTTTGATTATAATGTCGTCATTACCCCGAATGGCCTGCCAAGCAAATTATGCTTAATTTACCCATGAAAATATTATTCAAACATCCGTTCAGCTGCTTAAGCATTTTATAGGACAAGCAAACCGAATTTGAACTGTATTGTTGTGGTAATTCGGTTGTTATTCGAGTATTTGATCTCTGTTTTGGACGTGACAAAGAAATGTGAGGTTGGATAAGAAAGTAGGCTGAATGTACTTATTTGATCAGAGATATAATGCTCAGTATTTGTTTGATAACGAAGTGACTTGCTATGTGGTGCAATTATGACTGCTGAACGTGTATGTATGAATATAAGTAGCGAATATAACATTTGTCTGTGTTTCCAAAGGTTGTGATAGTAGCATAGTTGCTTTCTCGACTTTCTTCTTACGAATCTATATTTTGGATTGAACAATTAATTTTCGTAATGATGTTTGATTCAATCCTCCAATAGCTCCAATAATAATATTGAAAATAATAATATTATTAATAAAATAACTGTTTATATAATATGATATTAAAATTAGGGGTGTATTTTTTGTCATCTTCGGCTAATTTTAGTTCGACGTATCAAAAGTCATTTTTTATGAATTTAATGCTTTGACTTTATTTCTTTAATAAATGCCCCACACTAGGATTTTCTCCTGTGTCATGGGTGCGTTTACAAACATACAAGTTCACATACACATGACACCCAGACCCGGAACAACAATTTGTGGATCACACAAAGAATTGCTCCGGAATCGAAACCGCGACACGTTGCGTGGTAGCCACCACACTATCCGTTCCGTCATTATGTTTCTTAATTAGTTGTGCTTTTGATCTTTATTACTTCTGTTATACTTATTTGAAGAGGTTCTTACAGGCATTATAATATGAACTCATAGGTAGACGTGCTCCATCGCCGGTCACATCATCGCTTACCAGGCGATATGTTAGCCAAACGTCGACCTATTAAGTATAGAAAAAAAACATGTTAATGATTTTTAAACAGATAGGTAATTGTGATTCATGAACCCACGTTTCTTACGAGTAACGACACTCGCAGTGAAAAGCAAAGCTGGTGACAATCATAATCTGCCATCACCCGACGCCATTTTTGTCATTCCTTCCATAGATACCAACTTACACGTTTCTTAGGAAAATTTTAAGAAAATCCTATAAATAGCACATGAATGAGACATATTTAGATCTCGTACTGCGTTTCGTGTATGTCGTGAGCTCATTGTCTATGCCATTGCCAAGTAGTAAGTGTGTCGAGACACTATGTTATATATCTGCTACCATTTTGAAATTCAATTAGAATCATTGATTGATAGATTGATTGATTGAAACGTCAATTGACTGGTTTATTTTATTATGACCTTTATTATTATATCTGTTTAAGTCGTCTATTTAGGTAAAGTAGGTTTTAGAAAATGATACATTTTCTATTATCATGCTTTTCGTGATTTCATAGGAACAGTAGCCGTGATTTAAACATACCTTCTGTATCTACTTCAGAATAAGTGTAAAGTGTTCTATATCTTACTACTACTGAAAACTTTCGAAAACTGAGAACCTCTGTTTATACTGATACACCTTGTTGACAGACCAAAAGCCACTAGACAACAAACTGCAGTAAATTTTTCAGACATTTATGTGTCATTTCTTTATTTCCAGGAGTCGCTGGGCGGTGGAGTGTACGGGTCGGTGGGGGCGTCGGGCGCGGAGGGCGGGGAAAGGCGCGAGGGGGGTAAGCGCGGGCGCAGGCCTGGCCGCAAGGCGCAGCTCGACAAACAGGACATGAAGGCCAAGCTAGGTAAGGATTTCTATAAATTGGAAACTAAAATGATATATTTTAACGTTGAATTAGCTTGTGCAGTGGTGCGTTATTATACGGAGCCGCGGATAACTTAATGGGTTCCCGGGGCTCCGGTTCGAGGTGCTGGAATAGGAACGTTTTTAGTCAGTAAGAGTCGGACACTCTCTCACTCACATCACCCGAGCGGGAGAAGCCATTAGATGATTTCCAACCTCAAAAAAAAAAAAATAGGGCGTTATTGGAAAGGGCTATGTCCAGTAGAGGACGGAAACAGGTTGTTGATTAATGTCTAAAATCATAGCCATCAGCTTAACAGCTGAAGAGGTGCATACTTAAACAAAAGCGATTTATCTAATGGGAAGATTTAGATCCACAGCAAAGCTAGTAAGCGTTCCAAATAGTAAATATCCTAGACAACATTTAAAAAATCTAATAATTTCCAACATTGTGACGTAAACTAAAACAAAATACTTACAGAAAGCATACAGTACATTATAGCGAGGTATACTCACAAGCCATTGTTCATGCATTCTCCAATCGAGTATGAATAGCGTTTACACCGTGAAGAGGTTTCGAAATAGAGAAATTAAGGTCAAAGTAGCATCATTTGTTTAAATTGGGACACCATGTTCGGTTCACTGGAGATAACATGTGTTCAAATATAGAATGCATTGTTTAAATGAGATGTCTGTATGTACGTTTATTCTTTGACAGTTTTATTATCGGTTTAGTAATGAGCATGTCTGATGGTCCGCAATTAAAGAAGCGTCTATCATGCTGTGGACGCATTCAGAGGTGTACAAAATGTTATTAGGGTTTTGATATTTTTATCGCTGCCTCGTTGGCCGAGTGATCGCTAGTGCGACGTCGGGCATGGGGTCTCGGGTTCGATTCCCAGGTAGGGCAAAGTATTACTAGGTTTTAAAAAAATTCTCAGTAGTAGCACGGAGTCTGGAATTGTGCCTGGTATGTGGCAATAGGCTCACCCCTATTACACGGGAACATCATCATCATAACATTAATAGTGAAAAGTGGATGTTACATTGTACAGTGGCATAATGTGCACCCCTGCCTACCCTTTGGCGGTAAAAAGCGTGATGTTATGTATGATGTTAAGATATTTTTATCCTTTTAGTGATTGATTTTGATCTTATAATACAGAAAAAGTAATTATAATATGTGCTACAGTAAGTTCTCTTCTTAAACTGTCAAACACCAAGCGGTCACCGGTGACCGCAACCTATTGTTCTATAATTGTGTCTACAAAACCGGTACTCGACGAGTTAAAGTACGAAAATAATACGCAATTTATTTAAAGATTTCGATTCTCACTTCGTGGGTATTCCCTAAATACTCATAAAGATGGAGCCATTTAACTCGTCGAGTACCGGTTTTGTAGACACAATTATAGAACAATAGGTTGCGGTCACCGGTGACCGCTTGGTGTTTGACAGTTTAAAGGAATCTCATACGCAATGATAGACGAGATCGTCAACAGATATAATTACTATATGATATAGATATAAGAATACTCAGACAGATAATAGCCGTACAGACAAACAAAACAATTCATGTTACAAAATCTGCTCACGTAGTTATCTTCTAATTTGATACACTTCTAAGAACCGAGGGGTGACTATCTTTGCAGATAGTAATATCGATTAATCACATACACTGCTTTTGTTTCATGTCAATTTAAAAGGCTTGAGTAAGTTCTTAATAGTTTTTACCATTGCTCTGAAATTCCCAAAAAGATCCTATGTATATCTACTGAGACCGCAAGCCTGACTTGGTTACTCCTGCGCATGTTTAAGCAGAACGCAGCAGGCAGTCTGCGCGGGAGTGTCGCGCGCGCAAGAAGCTCCGCTACCAGTACCTCGAGGAGCTGGTGGCGGACCGGGAGCGGTCAGTTCTGGCGCTCAGGAAGGAGCTGGATAAGGTTTGTATGTGATATTTTTTATTATTTCATTGATGCGCATTTTTAGTAATAGATGGTGTATTACACTTCGCAAGTACAAACATTGTTTTGTTGTTTATGTTATAAATCTCATTGACTTAGTACAATGTCAGGTTAGCTGTTGAATATATTTTATCTACTTGCGAGAATCGGACCACAGAGTCTGTGTTTTATAGTTGGATAATACTTTAAGCCATGTATCGGCGACATGTCGAGCGAAGCCGGCCGATGTCGACTGACATATAAGGCGACAACGCTCAACTTATGTCCACAGAGAGACCTTGATGTTGCCAGACATTTCGACCAAAGTCCGGCAACGTCGCGCTACCTCACCCGACGTCGCTGGCGACACGTGTCGCAGGACATTTGTCCCCTAGTATATACTTTGTTTTAATTTAAAATTAAATGAATCAGAGAGTACTGCATTTTAAAGCCGTAGCTAACAGTTAGTAACTTTTTTTTATGGCATAAACCGGTAAACGAGCAGACGAATCACCTGACGGTAAGCAATCGGCGTTGCCCATGGACACCTGGAACACCAGAGGCGTTACAAGTGCGTTACCGGCTTTTTGGGGATTATGATCGTTAGGGATTCAGGAATTGGGGAGATTGGGAAAGGGGAGAGTAATTGGGCCTCCGGTAACCTCACTCACACGACGAAACACAACGCAAGTGTTGCTTCACGTCGGTTTTCTGTGAGGCCTTGGTATCACTCCGGTCGAGCCGGCCCATTCGTGCCAAAACATGGCTCTCCCACACTTAAAATAACTTAATTCTGATGGTTTTTTCATAATGTTAATTTATTAGACTTTATAAAAGTTGATGATCAAGGCAAGGTTACAAATCTAACACAGTTTTTTCTCATTAAACCTAAGTAGAACATTTTTAATAAGCTACGGCTATAAATAGATAAGGATATAATCAATCAGTCTTCTAGTAAAAAATAGACGGTTTTTATTATTGATATAAACTTTGTAAGCTATCAAACTGAGATATTAAATAGTGAGAGAGGATATATGAACTATGAATGTTGTTGTGTTGTCTGTTCTATCAAGAGTTCAAGAGCGAGACGTAAGAAAAGTTTATGATAGAACTTACTTTCCCTTTTCAGCCTCCATATATAACA